GGGGGTGGGGGAGGGGAAGTGAGAGGGGGAGGGAGGGGGAGTTGAGGCCGTCTGGGCGCCACAGACCTGAGGTGCCAGGTGATTCATTAAGGGAGAGCCAGAGTACCCAGAGGAGGTCCACAGAACTCGAAGAGAATAGAATACACATTTGTGAGGTGTGCTGACAAAATGAGTTACTTCTCGCTGTCCAAGAATGGACATATCGGCCGAAAATCGACATTGCTGTCAGATTTATAGATTTCTAATTGATACCATTTTGTTCAAGTCTACCATGTCTTTTATTCGTCCATACTTACAAACTGTACAAACTTCACCAATAAAGTTGAGGTATCGATTTCCATTTATAGGCTAAAATCGGAGAAGTAACTCATTTTGTCAGCGCACCTCACATTTGTTTGTACGCTGCTGCTTAACAAAATCACATTATGTTAAAAATTGCAATACTTTGGTCGATTAAAACGAAACCAAGCCATTGTGAAAGAGAAACTTGGAGGAAGGATGTGGAGCAGGAGAGCCAGGGAAAGACAAAGAGAGGCATGGGTGGACGACATTAAGACATAGACTGGCCTGGGTATAGCAGAATATGCAACTGCAACTTGGCGCCGAGAGGGCTTGAGGGTCATCACACGTCGATCTCTGAGTCAGAGATGACCCCTTCATGGACCAGGGTAGAAATCAGGAGTTCTTAATTAATTGGACCGATGCTTTGCTTTGTGAAGTAAAATCTTGACTTGATCATACATTTTAACAATTAAGAGGAGGTTAAAGATGCTGGGAAGGTGGGCAGTTAAGATGGGCCAGTCATTGCAATCACGTTAGTAAAAGCCTACATAATTATAATATTATGTTCCTTCTGATTGATTAAACATGTATTTACTGTAGTTAGACACATTTTGGAGTCAGGCTGCTTCAAACCTGCATGTCAAGGCCAGCTCCGGCTTTAATGACATCTTCCTAGTCGTGAGGTGGAGATACTGGATAAAATAACTGCATTACGCGAGAATCCATCTCACATCTTCCGCGTACATAACTGCTACACCACAATAAATGTTGCATCTTGTGTTTCTTAACCTTATTCATACATGGTGTTTTTCTATCGTATCAAGACGACGTGGAGAACTCTGTGCCCCCACTTTCCAAGAGGAAATTTACTCGTTAATCCGATTCGTACGCTTTGCGTAGCAGTCTGTCAAAATGATTTTTTGAGATATACTGAAAGTTTCAAAGAGATCTTCGCTCTAGAAATATTCTTAAATGGGAAGAATACAACCCCAGGGGGACAAAATGGCCCCAGGCGTAGGAATAGGGTTAACAATTTGGATACATAACTATTTTTGGTCACTAGGAAGTGGTTGGTGAAGTGAAGTCATGGAAAAGGCTACTGAACAATTATCCAATCATGAGTCACCTATTTGAAGACGTACATCAATGGCGACATTCAATCAATCAGCCCGGATCTTTCCAACTATATATCAATATTGTAGGGATGTTGAGCCATGCTGGATCTATGAGCGTTCCATATAGAAGTTATTCTGTAGAGAGATCACCCCCACTCCTCTCTCTCTCTCTCTCTCTCTCTCTCTCTCTCTCTCTCTCTCTCTTTCTCTCTCTGTCTCTCTCTTTCTGTCTGT